TRCTAGTAATCTAGTAATGTGATGGAACTCAAGAATCAAAATTTCAAGTCCCATGTAAGATTCAACAGAAAGCTCTACCGGTCCCTACCCAGACATCTTTTTAGTCATCACAAACTATTTAAGATTCCAGATTCTCAAAAGACTGAGATGAAGCCTGCCTTCCTTGCTGTCTGTCCCTTCAAATTTTGATTCCCGATATTATGAATTGCTAAAAATGCTAATTTAGCATTCATAATAACGGGAATCACCCATTGATTCCCAATTACATACTTGGATTTATGTTATCGGGAATGAACCAATACAACACTTTTTATCGATCAGATTTTACTGCCCCTCTGGTTTGTTCGAACTTCCTTGTTGGATCAAAATGTTTTTAACTGTTCACACGTCACCTAWTTAAGTTCAAATAGAGACAAGATCGTTAATTAGAAATACAATTGAATCGGTACAACATTAATTGTCCCAAAATCTGCAGCTTATTGGAAGAGCAAAAAAACGACTGATTATACTTTCTTATTTCTTCTCTTGTGCTCCTCAACAGGCCMTACAAAAAAGTCACTAGATGATATTAAATCCACTTACTCATATTCTTTTCATGTTTGACAGAGTCACAGTTTGCCGAACAAACATTTGAGTTTCCGAACCTTTCGATTGGARTCTCGATTCGAACTCCGAACCTTCTTCAAATTTGATTGTTGTCCCATTCGTGAAGCTGTTTTGAAGCCRAAGAGGTCTCGAAAGAGAAAATAGCRTTTCCAATGTCAATGCACGGACGMATACAAGATAAAACGAAAGTTTAGAAGTAGCACCGCATTGATCATTAGATGGAATTCATTTCCTTGCTCTGTTTTCCATCATGATGCATACAGTATCATTTCTCCTCGGTCTCTCTCTCATGTCTTGCTTCGATGATATCTTTACTAGCAGTCAATCTTTAGCATCAAAGTGGAGTATTGAAGAACCTAGCCATACTTTTGTCGACGAGACAAATACATTCACAATTACTTTCGCTGTGGATAGCTCCATTACTCAAGGCAATACAGGAGCCATTATATATGAGAAGGGATGCCGCGACGAGGGAAACGAGTTGGTCGATGCCGATGGTATTGTTGGCCTTAAAACAGCTGTTGATACGGTAGGTCTGGCTACGATGACATTTGATTTTGATCCGAAAGTTTTAACGGACAACAGCAACATATTCACACCCTTCCCAGACGAAGCACGAGCCGAAATGCAGATTTGTGCGCTCTTTATGCTTCAGACCGACGATGGATTAATCGAAGTAAACTATCTCGAGACTATTATAACGATCTTCTTCGACTTAACGGCTGGTTTCGAAGTAGAAGGTATCTCGGTTGCAGCGAAAGAACAGCCAGACGATATAGGGCCGGTAGGCTTCTCCAAAAGTTATGGCATCGACGCGTACCTGTGCGACCCAAGCTATCCAGAGACTGAGTTAACTCCGTCTACATTTATTCAAGGATCAGTGATATCTGTCTGCGTTACACCTGCCCAGGAAGCAATCGATGATGGATTGCTCATGCAATCAATCGATAGTTTTACCTGGGCGAGGGGATTCATTGAACAAGAAGCGATCGGAAGTAGCTTGGTCTCTCCTAACGCACTTACGAGCTTGTCATGTACAGGATTGTCGCTATACTGTTCGTTTTCTTCCATTTTATACGCAGATTTTTTCACACCTCCAACGTGTGAAGAAAGAGCCCAGATAGTTGACACAACCTTGGACTTTTTTCAATCGACGATCAAACAAGGTGACATACATCTTGGAGGTGAACTCCGATACGGGAATATTGGAAGCATCAATGGGCAAGAAGTTGATTTACTTGTAACAGCGACGGACTATTTACAAACTGCCTATAATGGGGACGGAAAAGATCCATCTGGGAACTTTGGGGAGCTCTCGGTGAAGGCACAACAAGGCGACCCAACTGCAGGAGAAGGTACTTTTGAGTTTTGTTTCGTGCAGCCCGACACATACACGGAGGTGACTGCAAGCTCCTTTCACTGGTGAGTATTCCAATGTGACTTGGTTCTGTGCCGGCACTTGAGATAAGATAAAAAACTCTTGTATTTACAAAAAACTGACATCGTTTCCCCTTCATTGCCGAACACAACTCTTTTTTTGGTCCCAGGTCCGTTTTTGATTTAGACAAACGCGGCAATGGATTGTCCATTCATGAGAAACTGACCGTTGACACAACTCAGGCTCACAGTTTCAGCGTATGGCCGAATAAAGATGAGACAGAGATTCATCAATATTGCGAAAACGATGAATCAAGCTCACCACCATGTGACGAAGGCGTGCGAACGATATTTGAAGCGACTACATACGGGACTGGCAAAGATAACCCAACCGAACCCAATGCCTTAACAGACCAACAAAAGAAGAGAAGTATAGTATTTACGTTCAAGAATAGAGCTTGTTGGACCGTTACTTTCACTGTATATTGTCCATTCGAACCTGAACAGACATGTACAAAATATAATGGTGGAAAACTTCTCTTTGCCGGAAGTTCAGAGGAAATCACTCAAGAAGGCGAGGYCAATTGCGTGCCAACAAGTCGAAAGCTTGGAGAATCCGAAGATGTTGTCCGCAATCTTTCAYTTTCAGAACCAGCGAAAGTCGGTGGATTCGGTGAGGGAACCCTGACTTTTGGTCCCATACGTCACCTTTCGGAAGATAGACGATCTCTGCAGACCACGGATGGTTCGAAGGCTGAAATTGAACTCGCCGTTGAAGTTATTACGTCAGAAGACAACATCGACAGCTTWCGAACCGCTGGTGGGAATATTGTCATGAGATCGTCAACAAAAGTATTGAACAGTGTTCTAATTTTGATTGTCCTCCTTTTGCTATAACCATTTAAAACGGTTCCAGGAGACATAACATGGACTTTAAGATCCTGATCACAGACAGTCTAGAGACAAAGAGCAGAACATGAAGAAGGAGCACTGGGTCGATTCATTGTAGCAATTTGTTGCAACGAAAGGCACAAGATACTAGTACAGCAAAAATATAGGACATTCAGTCCACATGTAATCATAGTGAATTCATAATTTATACAACACGCACAATATTGGGTTATTATTGGTATGCTCCAAGAAGTCTTAATTTCCGATACACTTTGCCATTATTATGGTTTAGCTTCCGTTTAAAGGGTTACCAATTTCGTCCGGATGTAGACACATTGAACTCGTCACAGTGAGTGCTACGCACACGGCGGGCTCACAACACGGTGTCGGCGGAGAGKTTCCATAACAATTGGTATGATATCGCTTCAAACACCCACTGGGCGTTGGTCCTCCGCTTGGTAGCCAATAGAGTATACCCGGACCATTCAYTCCAGAATAAACACATTGATTCTCGCAGTAGTCTATTGTATGTACGCTGCACKCTGAAGTTTCTATACATTGGTCAAAATATCGAGAGCAACAACCTTGTTCCGTTGGACTACCAGTTGGCGAATTTGTAGGCGATTGATCGTCAGTTGGAGTATCTCCCGTTAGCGTTAGCAATTTCGTAGGCTTCTCAGTAGGAGTATCAGTTGGCGTATTTGAAGGCTGCTCCGTGGGAGAATTAGTTGACGTATTTGTTGGCGTATAAGTTGGCGTATTTGAAGGCTGCTCCGTGGGAGAATTAGTTGACGTATTTGTTGGCGTATAAGTTGGCGTATAAGTTGGCGTATTTGAAGGCTGCTCAGTTGGCGTACCAGTAGGCGTATTTGAAGGCTGATCAGTAGGAACATCAGTTGGCTTTGTTGACGGAAATTTGGAAGGTATTGCGGATGGAAGCTTAGAGGGAGCTTCTGATGATGTATCAGTTGGATTATTTGAAGGCACGGCGCTAGGTGTTACTGACGCAAACTCAGAGGGAGGCCCCGATAGATTATCAGTAGGAGACAGTGTTGGCATTRAAGTTGGTGTTCTTGAAGGCAGATWAGAGGGAGGCCCCGATAGAGTATCACTAGGAGACTCTGATGGTTTGGCGCTTGGTATTCTAGAAGGTGCTGCKGAAGGAAGAGTGGAGGGAGTTCCGGACGAAATATTGCTTGGAGATTCAGAATGCGCTAAAGTAGGTATTGTTGAAGGTAGTRTCGACGGAATATCTGACGGCATCGAACTGYTTTTTCTCGAAGGCATGCTAGAAGGGATTCCCGATGGCGTTTCACTTGAGCTTGGTGTTGATGATGACAATTTTGAGGGGAAGCCWGAGGGAGTTCCTGACGGGAGATCACTAGGAGATTCAGAAGGCATCGGAAGGGGGTTTGCTGACGGAAGGATAGACGGAACCTCCGATGGACTSTCACTTGGAGACTCAGAAATAATCGAACTTGGCGTTTCTGAAGAAAGAACGGAGGGGGTCTTTGATGGAGTGCCGCTCGGATGTCTAGAAGGCATTGTACTTGGTATCTTTGAAGGTAGTTGAGATGGAGATCGTGATGGAAGATAACTCGGAGACTCAGAGGGCACGGAGCTAGGTCCTGTKGACGGAATCTCTGATGGAATATTTGTAGGTGGTTCTGAAGGTATCGGACTAGGTACTATTGAAGGAAGTTCGGATGGAGTTCTCGATGGAATTTTACTCGATTGTATGCTAGGTTCTTCACTTGGCGATAGGCTATGAGTGCCGCTTGGTGACCCCGATGTTACTATAGATGGGCTGCCGCTTGGTGTGAAAGGTCGAAGGGTAGAGGGCGCACTCGTTGGAGCTGAAGATGATACAYTTGACTTMATCTCAGATGGCCCTTCGCTTGGAGATCCGCTTGGATCCAAAGATGGTAATACCGATGGCGTATTTGTTGGCACTACACTTGGAGATCCACTTGGGTCGAAAGATGGTAAYATCGATGGCGTATTTGATGGCATTACACTAGGAACTTCAGTAAGCGATCTTGTTGGAAAAAGAGATGCTSTGGCACTCGGAATRGTTGATGGGAAGCCAGAGGGTACATCGCTYGGATACGACGACTGTTTGTTTGAAGGAATATYGGACGGTTTGTCGCTTGGAGATCTACTTGGACCAAAAGATGGTAATWCTACTATTATGGCACTCGGTATAGAACTTGGAAGATAGGAGGGGGTGTCACTTGATCGATTGCTTGAATCCCCCCCAGAGGATGCACTGGGTTTGATGTTATAGAAAGGGGTTGAATGAGCCGCCAGGAGAGATCTCAAGCCTTGTTCGARTAGCGTGCGGAACTCTATCTTGCTTATYGGCATTGTTTTCTYGTTCACACCGCCACTTTGCTCTGTGTCGGTTGCTTCTTGAAGTCTTCTTCCCATTCCAATCGATTCCGACTTTCGGGTAGCACCRAATGYGGGCTCCTCTGGACATTCCTCCCAGCAGGTGACTGTGACCTTCCATTGACTTTCTAGCATGTTGTTTTCGTCGGAGAATGTAATAAGGCTCACACCKCCTGGATCAATTCGTCGTTCAAATAGTTCATTACAACCTGAATCAGTGAGATCGTTGTAGACAGAAGCAAACATATCTTCCAAGACGTTCTTTTGGATTGTTTCGGTGCCGAAAATGTTTTCGGACCCGTTTTCCGGGGGYGGGAYGTCTAGAGTAAACCGAATAATTTCGCTCTGAACGTCAGTGTCCTCGTGTGGACACGGAAGCATGAAGTTTTGTTGCGCAAGGAGGGTGTCGGTCGTGGGCACTAATAAAGTGGAGGTGCCCGCAATTGCAGCTATGCCCAAGACGGACGTGATAAGCACTGACTTGATGGTACCACCCCCTGGGATGGCTGCTATTGATGCGCATCCGGTCCCTGTTCTGATTCCTATTATTCCTTTCCCTATAGTTGTTTTAGATACCGTGGTTGATGAAATCGAAGTGGCACTGCCAACAAAATTGGATACGGCCTTSATTGCCATGGTTTGGGTTACTTGCGTGACAACACCCGATGTTGTTGTTACCGACGAAGCGGTGGCACTGGTAGATGTGTTTGCTACCATCTGTGTTGGGGCGAACGACGTGGCAGAAGCCTTGCTGTATGCAGCGGCACTTCCACTATTAATCCCATCTCCTCCGGCAACRGTTTTGAGCACCTGTTCCACTCCAGGACTAGCRTTGTCACTTACTACGTCAGCTGCTACTTCGTCGGGGGTGTCATACATCCGAGAAAGGCGATTGGAGATGGAGACAAATGTTGAAGCAATTGCAGATCCAACCACATAAAGCATCAATCGTCGTCTAATGCGATTATTTCCTTGCTCGATCCGTTCCTCTTCACTATTAYAACTCACGATGGAAGCATCATCGTCGTTGTATATGTAATCTCCTCCGTTGTTGTATAGGTCGTGTCCTTCGAACAACGAGGAGGAGGGCGATTGTTCTTCTATTAGATTTCGAATGGAACGGGCTCCTCCAACCACGTGCTGACTGGGATGCATACTCCCCCCTCCACTACTCAGGGAGCCACCGATGCTGGCAAAGCCTTTTCGCGCATTGTCGGACCTTGCGCCATCGAACAGGTCGGCTTCGTCAAAGTCCTCATCTTCTCCAATCACTGTTTCCACCTTGGAAGCGAAACGGATTACTTTGTTCTTAACGTCGGAGTGTCCGGGTTCATCAAACAAGAGAAAGGTGTTGGGTTTGTTACAAACAAGATGGGATCTGGAAGAGGGGCGCAGCTCGGCGATTCCCGCAGTCTCCTTCGTCGATTGAGGAGAAGGATGAGTCTGAGTTAGGGAAGTCGTAGTAACAGTGCAGTCGTCGTGGTCCTTCGCRTTCTTACTCGATACCAGCGAAGCCAGGGCGTCATCGGAAAATTCGCTGTTCTCGCTCACGGATAGTGCATCATCGTCGGGCGGCTCTTGCTGTTGATCTTCTTGCTGTTTTTCTTTTGACACGAAAAACGAAAACAGGGATGGGTTCGCATCGAGGTTACTAAACAAAGAGGAGTGGCTGTTCCAGCAAGCCTCCATATTGCTCAAACGAGCGCTATCGTCTCCGTTGAAGAGAGAACTCGAAACGGTACACGACGAAACGATATTGCTCCCAGATGAACACGTGGTTGTTGATATTGAATCCGTTCTGGTTTCCGGTCCTTCTTGGTGCTGCATCTTTCGAACATCGAATGTCCGGTCTACCATGTCTGCATCGCTTTCTTCAACGACGTTCTCTTCCATACAACAAATTTTGAGACTATCATCAAAGACATTGCAWCTCTTGGATGTTTCGTTTTCYATTTTGTTTTTGTCGCCATGTTCGTCCACATTTCCATGATGAGGAACGGAAAACTTCGATCTACTACTTTCATTCAAGGGAATTTGAGTTCTTGTTGTATCCATGTTGTCTTTGCAGTCGTCAAATGGAGAGCACGAGCCTTCGCTTAGGACATCGAAAGCATTATTATGGTCGCCAATGTCTTCATCCAAACCACTCGTTGTTTCGTTCGAGGTATGTATCTGATGCTGCAAACCTTTCCGATAGCCTTTCCTGTTCATAGACGTCGAGATGTTGCTGGAGGATGAAATTCTGGTTTCTGTCATCAAAAATAATGCTTTCCTCTAGGACTACCAAGATGAGCAATTGGGTTGGACTAAAAATGATATGTTACAGTCAATTAACCTTTAGCGAAGGTGAGAATAATCGAGGTCTTTCTTATCGTTTGGTGCTTCGAATGGAAAAAGCTGTTACAGCAAGAGCGCTCCCTGTCAATGAAGATAATACATGGTCGAATTCTGTTAAAATACGGTGTACTAGACCATGAACCTTCGTTATTGTTGAACGAGTTTTTGGTTCCAATGTGCAATGCCGTATTTGGAAAACGCGGTATTGATAGCGTCACCGATTGATATCWTATGGTGCACACATTCTTATGCCTTCTGAAAGAAAAAGGTTCTCCACGAGTACACAAAACAATGGATTCTGAGTTTCGAAAGTATCCAACTAAAGCCTACTCGTGAAWTTTTTTGAAAAGGTACTGAAGTTCCCAATCTTAATATGATAGCGTGAAGAATTAGGATTTCAAAAAATTCTAAGAATGATTTCACGCAATGAAGCTATTCCACTTTATCTCGAATAGAACCTTTATTTCGATTCTGACAGAAGGCGTACAACATTACTACTTATTGTTAACAATTTGTAGAATTTCATGACAATTGCCACATGCGTTAAATCTATTATTGAAATCAATAATGATATGAAGATTCCAAATACTAGTATAATAGTGTGGTATTTCTGCATCCGAAAGAGCCTATTGAAATTCCTCTTGACARAAACAAAATTATTACTTGTAACATAGTATGGTAACCACTTAGTCGAACAGAGTATTACGTATTAGTTACCCACTTTCTCTTCCTGTTAATTTTCAATTTTCGATGTGGGAGGAAGACGGTAAAAATAATGGCCTTAAATAGTTGAGGACGAAGTACATGAATTCGTAATACTGCACCGTAATGTAATTCTTTGATTCCCATGTTTTCTACAGCTCTTTCGAATCAAATATTAAGGTTCATGGTAAACTTWTCAATTATTGTAATCRGTGTCGTGTCTGAACGTCAGACTTAACGGACTGAGCAGTAATAACGCMATCGTAGTTCTTACATTAAGGGGTAGTACGTAATGGAATTAAGGTCACACAGGAATCGTCGAGTTGTTTTTTGGTACCGCGAATGGTTTTGTCACCGGGTCACGTATCGTATGAGGGACAGATGATTGGTTTATTCTGTACGTAGGGTACAAGTACTCGTACGTAGGGTACGTAAGGGGTACGTACGGTACTGTACGTACTTCTTTCTGTTATCATTATTTTTGATGTCAATAATTTCGATGTGATTCATTCGACTAAAACCCCAACACTGTGCCTATCATCCAATTTCCCCTTGTTTTCGAAATTCAGAACCATGCAACGCGTACACAAGCAAACGACATCGCATTTCATTACAATAKCATCTCCTCGATCCCAGACCAAGTCACTTTTTTATCTCCCTGGTTTGGTGTAAAAAAAGAAAATTTTGCTCTGGAGTAGAGTGATCACCTTTCCTTGGACCACCAGTTTCCTAGTGTTTCTGCCAGGAAATATCCCTTCACTCGACATCGGAGATGACGAGAGAAGAACACCTCGAAAAGGTAAAAGGGAAAAAACAGACTGGTATTTCTGTGGCAGAACGAACAGATGGTGGTGTTGTCAATTCCCGCGAAAATAATGATGGTAGACAAAAGAGCCTTGACAGTGTGTTGGGGCTGAGGTGTCTTTCGATTGTTTTGTCCTATCTCGAGGAATTCGAGGGAACCTCGTTGCTTTTATGCCGGAGCCAGTATTGGACGGACACAATCCTGCCATTGCTACGGCTTCCAACGGAATCGACAATCACAGGGACTCCAAAACTACAAAAACACAGGCACCGRATGGCGGACCGCAACAAAAATCCACTCGTCAACATACCCGATGCGTTCACGAGATTGGATCGTCTCAATACAAGGCGTTTGAACACTCGTTTGAGACAAAATCGTGATGTAYGTGGCAGTAATGCCGATAATCTTTCAACGTTGCAGATTGCTAAGATTGAATGGAAAGAAACACTCAGTTCGAAGGGATCGGGAGGAGAAGAGGGAAAGGCTGRTGATGACGACGACAATAAACAAGACAACGGCAATGTTCCTCKGTTGTCTCGRAGGTTCCGGTTGATCATGAATCCACCCTTGCTCCGATTTTATGACGGCGAGAGCCCTCCTGATTCTCTCACATGTTGTTTTAAAGAAGGTACTACCTGCCTTGCATCTTATCCAAGGTCCGGGAACTCATTGCTGCGAAGCTTGCTGGAAACCGCAACGGGATTTTGCACATCTAGCGACACCCGGCCCGACCGTAACCTATCGGTGGCCCTCGCTGAGAAGCCCCCCTTTTTCTGCGGAGAGGGTCTGGCGCCAAAATCAACGGGAGGTTTGGATTCGGAGTCCTCCTCCGCCTTTTTGCCACCGGAGGCATCCTCCGGTCGCCGTGTCGCACCGCCGCCCATTTGCAAGACGCATTGGCCAGAGCGAATTGGCTGCCACGCGTATGATTGCCAACGCGTTGTTTTGTTGGTCCGGAATCCATTTGATGCAACAGATTCTTACTGGCACATGTGCGTGACCAATACSCATACGAAAAAAGTTGCTCCCTCTGTGACAGAGGAGCACCTCGACTTTTACAGGGCCCTCGTCCGCCACGAGATTTTGCAGGTTTGGATGGGTTTTTTGGACTATTACTGGAAGGAGTGTTCGCGCCATAATATTCCGCTACTTCTGGTGCGATACGAGGACCTAGTCCTCTCTCCAAGGCGCGAACTGCAGCGGATCCTCGAATTTTCTTGCAATACCAATTCAAACGATGGAGTGGATTGGTGGAAGAGGCGATTAGAGGAGGTAACCAGAGATACAGATTCGAAAGACTCATCCTCAACCTCATCAACGGACAAGAAACGGTTTGGCTATCAATCTTCTTCGACCATCGGTACCGACTCTTCTGCTACAGCAAGCACCAAGGAATCGGCAGCTTTGAACAATCATAGCATCAGCACCAGCAGCCACCCGAGCATTGGGAGATCCTTACGGAAAGGGGGGAATATCACACCAAGTATCTTGCAGGTTGTCCATGATCTAGACGACAATGGATGGCTAGAGCGCCTGGGATATCACGTATACCGCCAGAATTTTCCGAACAATTTGGATCGTCTGCCTCCCGTACCAGTCCTTGAATGTAGTGACAAGGAAGATGCTAGGGGACACGYCAGAAGTACTTTGGCCATCAATGTCCCAGATGTCTCACTTGAGCTGCGTCCAAGGGACAGTCCATATGGACGAAACATGACGCACTGGAGAAGGAGACGGACCGAGAGAGATACACGACCCTTTCCTACAGTCTAAGCTATTATCGTAGTGTTGATGCGGTGTTCATCTCCATTTAGTACGTGTTTATCTAATCATCGTTTCAGCTGGAGACTATTGCATTACTTGGGGGGCATTGAAATCGTTGCTACCAATGCCAGAATTTTTTAAATATGAAAGTATTGTAAAAATGTAAAATTTTAWAATAGAAAATTTCTTTTTGGTGGTATTCGCAAAACTATCGTACAATTTTGAMTCGTTGAAATATCTGGTACTGAAGACGCTTTTGTTGTCTCTCTWTCGTGTAAAGTACAMGTCGGTGTGAACATATTTTTGGCATGGAATTATCTATCGTGTTCTTTCAAGGACTCGGCGCTCACATATCTTGAGTGATATTGCGGATCTATCGTCCCCACGAATTCATTAGACTGCAGGGACTTGAGGAGCTGCTCAATATCTTGTGAAAATACCTCTTCTAGTGAAGTCGTCTTCCGCATCTTTGAAGTTTTGGCGTTSTTCGTAACGCTCATCAKTTTAGGGAAGGTCGAGAAGTCAGTATTTGAAGGAGTCGAGACGGTAGGAGATTGCGATGATGATTTTGTTTGCATGTCAAGGGCTACTTTGAGATCCTTTTGCAGTATTCGTCGTAGATTGTAGGAGTATTTGGTTGCGCTGCTTGTTTGTTGTCCTCGCTTAATCACCATGAAGCTCTTCTGCGAGAGCATTTTCTTCGTGGAAAGAGACCTCGACAGAAATGCATTATTATCGTTGGTTGATTGGTCACTCTCAATCATGTTCCATTTTGCGTTTGCAGTCGACACATTTGATTCCCCYCTCAACCTCACAGACATCATTGTGCTAGTAGGTCGTCTTGTCGAGGTGTTGTTTTTTGAAGTTGTACACCTCATAGTTCTTTTGATGCGGTGGTCTTTCTAAGGTGCTTTATTCATGTGCACAAATCTAAGATTTGTGCTATTGTTGAGAGGTATTGMGCGTTTCAATTGATTTCGCAAACTGAAAAGATCTAGAGAGAATGGTATGTAGTGTTCGATACCGCATACAGGACGTGAATTTACTGTATGAAAAGAACAACAGCAAAAACAATCATGATATTTGGTTGACCGGGTCTGACAGAAAGTTTCACGTTATTTTCGAAGTKKTTCTTTCGTTCAAAGTRCGCATAGGCTTTAGGGGATTAATCGAAACYGCAAATGCATGAAGAAACGACAAATGATTAATCCACCACGTGGTGCGCCAAATGGAAGCAGAGATGGGGTTTAGTATTACTTATCATTTGATGGATTCTATATATAAGCTGTTTGTCTTGTCGTCGATCTTCTTAGCACGGGGGACCTACAACAAGATCTACAATTAATTCTTGGGGAGTTCTTTTTGATAAAAACTTAAAGAGCTATTTATCAGCAAAATCCTCTGGTCAAGAATACAATCATCGTTGTATGCTAAATGGATCATTGGTGTATGCTATGTACATCACGTATTATGTCAAAAGTGTTTTCAGAGTGGAAGTGATTATAAGTAATGGAAGACAAGTTTAGAGCTRAAGTTCAAACAATGATTAATAATAATGCAGTAAATAAAAAAAGCTCCCTTACCAAAAGGCATTAATAAATTAATCCCATCAATGTTTCGAAAAAGTACATTAAGTTTCATTCGCATCGAGAGAATTGCTGAGAAGTTCAAATAACCCTTACCTGTATCGGTATGTCATTTTCATGAGAGCATTAATTCTTTTATCCTTGAGGGAGATTGAGAAGCCAATCGGTTCTGTTCCAATTTTTCTTTCTTCAACTRTGTCATGCAYCAATTCGTGAACGAACCAGATCGACTAAATAGACACCAGGGACGATTCGTTTGACAAWRATTCGATTTTTTTTCACTCTCTCATCTCCATTTCCCCTCTCAASCCCCCTCTACACACAAAAACTACTTAGTCCCAAAATATTTCTAGTATTAGTGGTCAGCACCAACAAAAACCCCTTACCCAGCAGTTTGCAGTGCTCACTACTACTACATCCCCACTARTATTTAGTAAAAGAGGTTTTCCAGTAGTAAGCACTAGTAATAGTACTAGTAGTAGTTATTCTCAACAAGTACTAGTAGTACTAGTAACAAGCAATGAGGAATTTACGTCCGAAGTACCTGCCTCTCATCCAGTACTACTACTAGTAGTAGTACTAGTAGTAAGAAGGACCACTACTAGAAATATTTTGGGACCAGCAATAAACTAAATAATTTGAAASAATTTTTTAACTGTAACAAAAATGACCCTGTCAGTTTTGTTAGTGCCATTTGTGTGGGGACCATCCAAAATCAGCCAGAATTTTCTTGCTCTCCAGTAGAAAAATYGTGGGCAGACACGTCCCTGATRTCTGTTTAGCTGCTCTGCTCACCGGAATGATTGGGCTTTTTCTTATTTTACAGTAGCTGTACCAGTACCATGGGAGCATATCTTGCTTCACTTGTACAAGTATCCTACTAGTAGAAGTATGGTGGTACTGGTACTTCACTCACTAATTTTGAAAGATGGTGCGAGGTGTGCACAGTGCACAGGTACCAGATGTGATACGTTGCCATAAAAGAAAGGAATGCTTGCTTATATTAGAATGGGTCATTTCCACATACACAGAATATGTAATTTTTGGCCAGCCGGCTCTTTCAATGTGTCTCAAATACTCAGATACTGCTGGTTGTCGTCGGACCACCAAGATCTGAGTTTTTGAGATACATATTAGTAATTGGAATCCTTGACATAACATTTTCAGTCTCAATAGCAGGCACGCCCTCCTAAAGATAGGTGTCGCATGGCGCAAAAACTGAAAATTTCAATCTTTCTGCTTAAAAGAACAAGCATATCTTTGCTTTTCCCGCCCCCTCAACAGCAGAACACACGCAACACATTCAACAAAGACAAGGAAAACCAAACAACACATCACTGAAGAAGAGGAACAAGAGCAGGGGGAGTGTGCTGACCAACATGATGATGAGATTGGCTGCTGGTATATGCAGCCTGCTACTAGTAGTTCATAGTACTAGTAACACAAGAAGCATCCAGATTCTTCTGTTGTGGAGGATGAAGGAGCTTGCTAAGAGGGGGGGAAGAGTGCTGGCGCTGTCTTCTTGAGAGGGATGACCTCCAAATCCTGAATGTGATATCCTTTCATCGTCCCATGCCTCATAAAAAAAGGATGGCTCCAGCTCCAGCAGCAGGAGTTGAAGGGTAGATTACACAAGAAAGAGGAGGAAGGTCTCAGGGTTCCACTAACTAGTACACCCTTNTGCTTCACTTGTACAAGTATCCTACTAGAAGTATGGTGGTACTCGTACTTCACTCACTAATTTTGAAAAAGATGGTGTGAGGTGTGCACAGTGCACAGGTACCAGATGTGGTACGTTGCCACAAAAGAAAGGAATGCTTGCTTATATTAGAATGGGTCATTTCCACATACACAGAATATGTAATTTTTGGCCAGCCGGCTCTTTCAATGTGTCTCAAATACTCAGATACTGCTGGTTGTCGTCGGACCACCAAGATCTGAGTTTTTGAGATACATATTAGTAATTGGAATCCTTGACATAACATTTTCAGTCTCAATAGCAGGCACGCCCTCCTAAAGATAGGTGTCGCATGGCGCAAAAACTGAAAATTTCAATCTTTCTGCTTAAAAGAACAAGCATATCTTTGCTTTTCCCGCCCCCTCAACAGCAGAACACACGCAACACATTCAACAAAGACAAGGRAAACCAAACAACACATCACTGAAGAAGAGGAACAAGAGCAGGGGGAGTGTGCTGACGCGCTGTCTTCTTGAGAGGGATGACCTCCAAATCCTGAATGTGATATCCTTTCATCATCCCATGCCTCATAAAAAAAGGATGGCTCCAGCTCCAGCAGCAGGAGTTGAAGGGTAGATTACACAAGAAAGAGGAGGAAGGTCTCAGGGTTCCACTAACTAGTACACCCTTRGGGAGACCATGGGAAGGGATCAAGTATTTGATTGGTGTGAAGACAGCCATTGGAGATGCTGACGAGGAGACATTTGATTGGTAGAAGGACGCATTACTAGTGAGGATGACAGCACTTTGGAGGACATCAAGGACAACAAGAACAACAATAGTCCTCCTCCCCTTCATCAGCATTCACAACTTAGTATTACTCAAGAAATGTCAACGGCAACTGAGCTCACTCAAATTGAGACACCAACTCATCAGCTGCCGGAGATGCCAACTCAGATAGTATCAGCCTCTCAGCCTACTCAAGGATCAACTCAAGGATCAACTCAAGGATCAACTCAAGGATCAACTCAAGGATCAACTCAAGGATCAACTCAAGGATCAACTCAAGGATCAACTCAAGCATCCACCCAAGGATCAAATCCCCAGCTTGCTCAACTTACTGCTGCTCCAACTCAAGCATCAAGTCATGCTGTCCCTCCTCCAGCCAAGAGATCATAGTACTCAAGGGCCTCCTTCTTATCAAGTAGCAGCACTAGYAGCCACACCRATTTTGCATTCATGTTCCAGATGTCAATGCAACAGCAACAAGCCCTGAGTGTCCAGTCCAAGGAACAGCATAACCAGTCCATGGAACAGTATAAGCATACAGTTTCCAAAATCAAAGATCTACTTGTCACCCTTGCCAGTGCTTATCTCCCTGGCAAGAAGAGGAGAGGAAAGTGCAAGCACAACAAGCCCACAGACTCATCTGACAATATTTTGTTGTCTGATGACAATTCAGAATAATCCCACCAGGGTTAATCCCATGGTTATTTACTAATTACTATTACTATTACTATTACTAGTATTAGTATTAGTATTAGTATTAGTATTAGTATTAGTATTAGTATTACTACTATTACTATTACTATTACTATTACTATTACTATTACTATTACTATTACTATTACTATTACTATTACTATTACTATTACTATTACTATTACTATTACTACTACTACTACTATCATTACTATTACTATTACTACTAGTATTACTAATCTAAACTAGTGTTTGCTGATTGCTATTTGCTCCTTTCTTTGTGGTTTATTCCATTTGAAATATATGAGTACTGAATTATACTGTACTAGTAGTATACTGCTTCTAAATCCTGTCTACATGATACTTTGTGTTAGTCATAACAGTTGCTCCCCTTTTAAGCTAATGCAAGCAGACCAGCAATCATGCGGGATTCCTTCCATGTGAATATACATAGATGGATATTCATGCAAAAATGTGCAACATGTTCCATCTCTGTTACCAGTCCCGGTTTTTTGTGGGAAGATATGCACAAAAACTGGCAACACAAAATAACACAGCACTTTAGAGGACAATGAAGAACTCAAATAACACAGTGTATTGCGTGGGTTAATCCTCTCTATGCACACTGCTAGGATAAACAAATTAAAATCATCCTTGTACAGTTTAAACTGCTGATATTGCTACTACTATCTTCCATTTTGTCTTCCATTAATGAACTAAAGAACACAACCATGCGGCCATGGGAATCAAATTGACAATCCGCAGCAATTGACCATACGGCAATTGGAATCAAATCAACAATCCCCAGCAATTGACGCATTTCGCCAAACTAGGGAATGCAGAATTAGTGTCCCCAGCAGGGGACCTCACATAGGAGAAGTTTCTTGGATCTCTATTTGCATAGGATTACCTCATTGTTGTTGCTTCAAAGGATTCAAAGTCACTGCTGGTATTGTTCATGAAGGTGTCAAGGATCTGATTAATGCCCACCTTGCTGCATTGATAATTATGAAACAGCAACCAGAGGTTAAGAATCATCTTCCTTTCATCAAGCTCCTCCAGTTTAAGCCTGTCCTTCATCCTTGGGAATTGCCCCTGGAWCATGCACATACCCCATTCAGATAAACTGGGGACAGCTGTGGCTTGCCTGTTAATTACAATAGCCTGGTGGGTATTCTCTGCCATAGTAGTATCCAAGGTATCTGGGTAATTTTGCTGGCTTTGAATGAGATATTCTGCGCTTTTCACCTTAAATGCAGAATTAACATTCACCCTTCTTCCACCAGTCTTGTTATATATGTCTTCCATCTCATCATATATGCATACTCAGTCATGGTACTATCCTGCCAAGTCCCTGGGCAGTTATATGTGGTCATGCAGATTTTTCCATCTGGTGCAAAGACAAGGACACTATTAGTAATGTACATATCACAGACCCACAAGTTGTACTAGTACATGTTTTGAATGGTCCAGTTGGTAGAGTGCTCAAGCTTACTAACTTTGAGGCCATCTGCTGTACTCCATACCCTTTTGGTTCCAAGTGCAAAATACTTTSTTCCAATTGCGGGCCTRATAATAGCATCTGGATGCACAGATGTTGCAATACACAAAGAAGAACTTTTGTCCTGGAATACTTCAACCATTTATAGAGGGGAGTTGAAGTAAGGCCAAACACCATAGTCGATAAGGCCCTTGCCGCTGATCCATGAGTTCTTAACCAAGTCAAGACCAAAGCAAGCCCAATATTGGCAGTGATGTCCCTCCTAGTATTGCCCTTGGGCGTGCCTTTCTTGTTGGTGAAGAGTCCAGGTCTGATCTGCTGGGAAYKCTTGTCCACAGTATATCTAACAAACATTGGCTCAATGAGGGAAGGAAGTTGCCTGAAGACCATGAGGTCAAMGCCACAGCAATTTAGAAGAGCCYGGTCATCACCAGACCCAAAGAGGTGGATGAATGAAGACAGTTTGGTCCCCATGAGAGCAATCCTTGGCATCCTTCTGTCTCTTTGACCCCTGTCCYCATGGGAGAGTTGATGAGACATCTCCTCCTCCTCCTGCTCCTGTTGTTTAAGGGAAGCTGCCCATGCAATTRAAATCAACACAGGAGGGGACATTTTGCTGTGAGGGAGGAAGTGATAACCAAATAGTGAGGGTAGAGACTGCTGTTTTGTTGGCCTAGCTAGGATGATTCAACAAAGGACTRTTTTGACAAAGGACTGTTGCCKTTTCAGAGGAATGCCAGTTTTGGAGCAAGGAGAGCTGGTGTTGCAATTTTGATAGTTTTTGAGCCATCACTGGTTTTGTGAAAATCTCAATTATGTTCGTGTCACTGGAGTCTTGTTAAATTAGCGCAATTGACGAGATTCCAAATTCCAAAAATGGGGGATAATATATGAATTTCAGCAAGCCTGCCATGTCTTAAGTACCACTGAAAACATTCCCGCATATATAGCTACAAAWATGGATGCGGGAATGACCAAATGATAGTCCGTAGGTTCTATCGACGTCCCAAAATGGGAGTAGGTCACTAAACCAAAGCACCCAAAAACTTGGAAAAAAAGAAAAACCGCCAACACTATTAGTGCTAACAATTAGTGATACAAAAATTTACTGTAATAAAAGCTCAATGAGAAACGCTTTGAGTCGGTRGAGGACTAGCTCACGGGATGAACGCTGACGAATCATCAAAACCTGTCTTTTCACAGAAGGCATATGCGTTCTRTAGTTTTTATTTCGCCATACCAAGCCGTTCTGTTCATAAACCCTTTCTCCGCAGAGAAATATCACCATCAGTATCATTGCTAATCAAATACTGCATTCTATCGTTTTGAAAAATTCTCCGTTGGAAACTAGTTTCCTATGCGTTAACCACGTTCACTATCGCTTTCGTCATCGCTTTCTTCCGACTTCGACTGGGACTCATCCTCTGCTTCGACATCATTATTGTTATTCTGATTCCGCAACGCCTCGGCCTCGCGTTGCACCCGGGCGCGTGCCAATCGATCTTGTTCGTCTCGAATGTCCCGGAGTTGCTGCTCGTAGTTCCATACAGGCAAAATCGACAAAAAAAAGCTGTAAAACAAGCACAGAATGTCCAACACAAAATTCACGAGCGGATTCCCTGGGTTGTGACCGGCGGCATCGTTTTCAGCTTCCTCGATTGGTCCTTCGTTCACGTTTGTATTTGCACGTGCGGCCGCACCACCTCCAATGGCAGCTCGCTGTTCTGGGCGTCTGTAGTGTCCCATGAAAAAGTCGTTGACTCCATTCACGACTGCGTTTGCGATATTGGGTATAAAACCGCCGTTGCGAACATTTCCACGTGGATTTCTTCCAACTGCTGGTGGACGCCTGTTTTGTGGCCTGGGAAGACCGCGATTGTCATTAGCGGCATCTTGCTCTTCGACGTTATTGTTGTTGTTTCGTCCGTCCTCCGTATTGTCGATCTGGTCCATATCCAGTCCATATGTTGGAGTCAATTCCACACCCGCCCTCAGATCCTTCCAAATACGCACGTGAAGTTGATCTCGGAGGAAGAACCGGTAAAACAAGCCAATTATGCCCACATGGAATACAAATCCTACCACTACTGCGACAGTGATTCCTAGAACCTGAATGTGGGGGTCGTCCATGTCAATATAGTCCTCGTCACCATCATAGGAATCATCATCACCATCGTTGTCATTGTTTGCCTGTTTCTTCTCCCACGCCTTCTCCAACGCCGGTGCAATTCTCCCATAAATAATCATCAGGGCAAAGCCCAGCTGAAAAATCATCCCCGCTTCCCGGAAAGGGTTCAGGAGGTCCCGTTTGGCCAACCTCCAGAGGACCAGCCAGATTCGGTACTCGTATTTCAAACAGAATAACAGGGCCCGAATTGGAAAAGTGACAACTCTCCAGGCCACGTGGTGGGCAAGCTCGTGAGCTCTGCGGAATGCATTGCCGCGAACAGCGCCATTCGCGCCATTATCGTTTTGCGGTTGCTGGTTTGGGAGCGGGGGATCGATTTCCACCGGTGCATCCACAGTGGCGGAACGATCTTTTGCTCCCTCGCTGAGGGTCGAGTGAGAAGAGGGAGAAGAATCATGCTTATCCACTACCTGCTGTTGCTGCAATCCTTCAACGGAATTCTTGAGATGATGAACCGTATCAGTGAGTTCTCGGAGGTGACCGCTCAGCAACAGTAGAATCTCGGATTGACGATCCATGGCTCGCTTTTGATCGCTCAATTCTTTTCGTAGCATGGATACCACAGAAACGTTGCTCTCGGAAGCATCCATTTCCTCTTGTTTCACGGARACCTCGGCATTTGTCTCTTCGCGTGAACTGTTTATTTTCAGAGCAAGTTTTTCGGCAGCAACCAAGTGAGCTGGTTTGGGGGGGATGGTCTTCGTGTTCGCTGCCGGGGCGCTTGCGGAATCCACGGGTGGAATCTTGTTGCTTCGCACAGTAACAGAAGTTGTTGTCGTCTGTTCCACTTTGTAGTAAGCAGTTTGCGTAGCTGCCGAAGCAGATTCTGTTCCATCTGCTTCCACACGAACAATGGAAACGTCGTCGTCTTCTTCGCTCTCCTCTGCCTTTTTGTGGTCTGCCTTTTCCAGCTCCAAGCGGATCATGGTTCGCAGGTATGCAGCACTGGATGGGTCCATCGGCGCGGACTCTATCCCGGCGATCCGCAGGATCTGTTCGAACTCGGAGTCCACGGTTTTGGGGTTGCTATCGACGATGCCGCTCGTCGCGCCGGTCTCGTTGTCTCGCCCAAGCGAGGATTGTGACGGAAGCTTTGTCGCGCTGCTCATCTTAAAACTGCTTGGTTGGTTGGCTGGTTGACGAATCCTTCGCGTCCATTCAATGCCAAACGCTGTCTTAGTTACGAAAGCTCTGGCGTTTCGCCTGTAGACTCGAGCGRCAAACACAAACAATAGGCTGTCGCGACAAACTGTCACAAACAGCACGTTGTCAGCAGCTTTCGGTAGGATAACAAGTTCCAGAAACGATGACTCCTACCGGTACGAACGAGTAAGGTATCGTACTACACTACACCCCTGCCGTTGGTCGTAGGTAACGGCGCAAGATTTTCTCTGTCAAATGTTATATATACTAATCATACATCCAATAAGTATCATTGTAGTACGTATCACTCTGCTACCAACCGAGTGCACGACTGAAAGSGAACAAAGAACATCTTTGTTTCGTATTTTTAGTCGATCGAGTCAGAAAAGAATTGTTTGGGTTTCGTTCTTTTCTGGTTGATGTTCACCCTGTTTGTGACTGACATGTCACCGATCAACGCAATCACAAATCGTGATCGGTTTTTGATTCAAGATTCGATTCGCTGAAACGTACGAAGTACTCCGTACGAATGTTCGTAGAACATGTACGGAAAAAGGATTCTTCGATTCGATAGACGTTCTTGGATGTACCGGTATGGATTCTCACGAAAACGAAATGACGGAAGACGAAGTCAACMAGTTAAATTACAGTAGCTTCACTTCTGATAGAATCCGAAGCATTTTTTAAAAACTTTTTGGTTCCTTTCTTTCCCTCTTTCCTTGTCGAATGCTACGAGTACGTAGTAMCAGCACGAAAGTACTTTTCCCATCTGAAGAATCGTCGTCACCTTCAACTCTTAGTTCAAGACCAGAACGACATTCGACATAATACMGTCAACCGCACRACATCCGATCATTCTCTTTTCTCACCGGTATCACTGCTCGTATTGCTAGACCACTACGTGAACAGTCATTCCCTCACGAACTATACTCCCACAAGCACAACAAGACATCGCTTCGAAATCTTCCGACGAGCGACCAAAAAAAACGACGAACGAATTAATCGAAATTCGACGACAAACTTATTCTCGCGGTTTCATTACAATCAAAAGACCAGACAAGACAAGACAAGACGAAAACACGACACAACATGGCGCCTTCCGCAACCCCAGCTCTTCCCATTGCCGCTGCCCCCACAGAATCYCAGCCGGCCGTCGATGCCAAGCAAGCCGCAACCCCCTCCACCGATGCCTCCGAAAGCAAGGAACTCCCCCCAAACATCAACGTGACGTCGCACCCGGTGCTCTTCCACAAGATCACCGTGCTGCGGTCCTCCAAGACCTCTCCCGGGACCTTCCGGAGCGTTCTCCGCGAGGTCACCTACCACCTGGGATACGAGGCCACCARGGACCTCAAGGTTCGGTCGAATCTGCCCGTGGCGGTTCCCCTCGGAAAGGAGGTCCAGTCCCAACACGAGGAYCTCCGCAATGCCGACTGTGGCTACCGCCTCGAAGACCGGGTGGCGCTGATCCCCATTCTMCGCAGCGGRCTGGGCATGAYGGATTCCATGCTGGAGCTGTTGCCGAATTCGTCCGTCCACCACATCGGAATGTACCGGACCCCCGGGGTTCACGTGGCTCCCGTGCAGTACTTCAACCGACTGCCAAGGGGGGAGTGCACCGCGGACGTGGCCTATGTCCTGGATCCCAACGTCGGGAGCGCGGCGACCGTCAACGCGGTGGTCTCGATCCTGAAGAAGGTGAGTTTGTGTTTTTCGTTTGCCAGACAGCRTCRAGATTCGTCCCGGCTTTTTCTGATRAGGAAAAATGGGACGGGTCACRGTGGCACAACTGGAGCATCCCTCTATTGGCATTTGRCGTGCACCTCAAAAAATTCTTTTGCCTTGTTCGTCGTTGATCTTTTGCCCGAAAAAATCGTCGTTGCMATGATTGTCGAAACGAAACGGATCATGACGGAATTTATTCAAAATTGCAGTGGGGAGTTCCCAAGATCCATGTCATTACTGTTGTGGCCAGCAAGGCCGGACTGGAGCTTCTTGCCAAAACCCACCCCGAGGTGGCCGTTACGGGTAAGAACTTTGTTCTGTTTGGTCCTGTGTAATCTCGTTTGGTGTGGCCGTAGCACAGGCTTTCCAAAATCGTTCAGCGTCATTGAGGATTCACTTGGGAAGAATCCATGAAAMACACACACACACACGAGAATATTTAATACACGCTCACCGCATTTCCGCCCCTGTGCGTGTTCGTTATAACTTTTTCTCCTTATACGACACAGTTGGAGTGGTCGACCCCAATTTGACGGACTGTGGAATTGTCTTGCCCGGAATGGGCGACGTGGGAGACCGCTTGTTTGGGACCGGAAACCACGACTTTGAAGAAGATGTCGGTGGTGGCCTCTCCAGTGATCCCGTCGACGAAGAACAGCCACCCACCAAGCGCAAGCGATCGGCTAGCCTGTCACTGGAAATGGATCTGACCAACAGCAACAAATAGAAGCAGTCGATCTGTGGTCTACACCGTGCCGCACTATGGCTCTTCCAGTAGACGCAAAACGTACCTTGCAACTGACTTTGACGGCGTGAAACCAAATAATAAATGAAGCTTTTTGTCAGAAATCAAATTAGAACGGAACATTAGTACCAATCGTGCAACAAATATGGAATGCGAAGTAGCACTATTCTGGTGGCCTAACTTTTCCTGGTAGTATACCAGCAATGCGCTTGTTAGGACAACAGGATGTCGGTGTCATAACCACTCAAAAAGGAGGAACATTTGTTTCGATCGGTTTACTCATCTTACTAGCCAGAAATAATAGTTTTGAAAGAGGAGAATTACATGATGAAAGACAAATTCTTTCTTCTTTTGTTCCTCATGCAAGGAAGTGTTGAACCATTTGGATGACAGTGAAGAACAGCAACAAGAATAAGTCCATATAGTACTAGTAGCTACTAAGAGTACTACTACAATAGACTGACAGAACAGTGAGGACTTTCTTCTTGTTCTTGATGCATGATCTTCTCACTACACTGCTGCTAGGTAGTACCACTACTAATAGTACTACTGCTTCTACTACTAGTAGTRGACTACTAGTAGGAGTACTGCTGGTAGTAGTAGCTATTAGGACTACTACTTGTACCACTATGCTACATATTCTTGTTGACAACAGTTCTTACAGGAGTGGTTCCTTCCCATTCACTCTGAAGAGATGGCAACAAGAAAGAAGCAAAAGGATTCTGATGAAGGTCTGAAAATCATAAGTCACTTTATTGTTTGTTTTGACCTCAATTATCATCATGCTTTTTTTCTTGATGTTCTTGTTCTTGTTCTTGTACTACTGTGACATAGTAGTACTATTAGTAGTAGTACTACTACTAGTAGTACAACAAGAAGAAGAATGTTTGTCACTAGACAAATTAGTACTACTACTAGTAGTAGTGCTAGTACTAATAGGAGAAGTACTACTACTACTASTAGTAGTAGTAGTGCTAGTACTACTACTATTCCTCATATACTAGTAGTACAACTTGTTGTTGTACTAGCTACCATTACTTTTAATATCATTATGACTACTATTGTTTTTACTACTAGTATTACTATTACTAGTAGTAGTAGTACCTAGTACGCCACATAGTTCTACTAGAAGCTTGTTGTACTAGTACTACCACTATCCTCCTCCTTTACTACTATTTCTTACCATCATTACCACCAGTCTGCCACCAAAGCACTCCAGAAGTACCGACAGGAGGAGGAGCTACTACTGTACTACTACTACTACTAGTAATGACAGTGTACTGCTACTAGTAGTACAAGTAGTAGCTTGATACTACTACTACTACTACTACTACTACTACTACTACTACTACTACTACTACTATTACCAATGAAATTATTGCCTTACTAGTAAATGACTAGAGAAACATCAAACCATCATACATTTGAACATTGTCCAATCCTTCAACAGTCCAACTTGTTGTCCGTAGGATATCAGACCGTGGGTATGATTCATACATACGACTCATACATACGATAAGTATCTACGATTCATACACACCATACATATATGACTCACGCGATCCCCTAGGATTCATATC